TATATATATTATAATAATTAATACATAAAATAATAAAAATTTAGGGGAAAAAAAAGGAAAACTGGATCCCTGGGCCCCAGAGTGGATAGGGAGGGTAAAGTCAGTAGGGTGCCCAAATCCAGTTCCCCTCCCCACCTGGCACGTGCTTCCCTAGGAGCTTTCCCCGGCTGAACTCCATGCCTCCTGCGTTTCTCTCCTACTCTCAGCTCAAGATCTCCTTCAGCGAGACAGCATTGGAGACCACGTATCAATACCCCTCTGAAAGTTCAGTGCTGGAGGAGCTGGGCCCAGAGCCTGAGGCTCCCAGTACCCCCAGCCCCCCAGCGGCCCAACCCGATGACGAAGAGGATGAGGAAGAGTTGTTGCTGCTACAACGGGAGCTCCAGGGCGGCCTGCGCACCAAGGCCCTGATCGTGGGTGAGCTGAGGCTCTGCTGGTCCGAGGACACCCCCTGGTGTTCCTATTGGGCACTGCAGTCCAGGAGGGAAGGGGAGGAATTAATTAATGTTGGTGCTCCTGGAAGAGACTTGGTAGGACCTCTAACCCCACCCACTCCCTTGACAAATGGGGAAACCAAGGTCTTAGAAAGTGAAGTGCACAAGGGATCTCCAGATTTCAAAACCATAACTCTTTCTGTGGTTAAAAACACAAGGTTTTGGTCAGACAGGACTGTGTTTAAATTCCATCTTGTCTCTTACCTGTGGTGTAATCTCCAGGAAATCACCTGCTCTCTGGCCTTATTTTTAGCAATTATGACATAGAGCTAAAAATAACCACCTCCTGGGGTTTACTGACAGGGTTCAGTAATTTTTATGAAGCATCTGGGAACTATGGCTGGACATTAAATTACTTAAACTCATCTGGGGTTATTGTGTGATTAAACAGGTTGTAAGAATGCCTGGCACAGAATGCAAGCTTAGTGAATGATGGCTGCTGTTACTGTAGTAGCAAGCACTCAGCATGAAAGATATAAAGACTTATCTTCAGTGTGGAGAGTAAGGGGGGAAGGCGGGTGGCAGAGGCCCTCACTCATTTTCTATCATTATTGCCTCCTCTCCCACAGATGAGTCCTGCCGGAGGTGACCCTCTTCCAACATAGGGTCTATACCTTCCCCTTTCCCAGAACTGAAGATCCTGGAGCCCAGAAGATTGAGAACAGAGAAAACCTGAACATGAGCTTGGAAGGGAAGGCAACCGACATCTTCCAACTTGCTTTCCTCATCCTGTTTATAGGGGCAGAGCTAGTTACCCAGTTTCTACATTCACCAAAGGTCTCTGATGTGAGTGCATCAGACATGCTGGTGCACCCTGGGTGATTCAAGAGTGAGCATCAAGTCCTGGGGAGGAGCACAGAGGTCATGGGGGTGAGGGGTTGGGGGAGGGAGATGAAGCACCTCTTACATCTCCATGGACAGAGTACACTCTCCAGCCTTCCTTTACTCCCCACCACCCCTTGAGGGCTCTTGCAATTTAAACACTCATCCTGGGCAGCCTGCCCCCATTCTATTTACAGGCCCCTCTCCTTCCTGTTCCTTAGGTCACTGCCCCTTTGTTTACAGCTCCTGCCACCTCCCTTGACCACCAGCCTGGTTTACAAACCCCACTAGCTCCCAGCCCTACCTGCCAAAGTCCCAGGTTTACAACCACACCTACATGTTGAGTCTATATGGAATCCTCTCCCCTGTCCCTGGCAGGTGCCTCATTGGGGGTGTGGCTTCTTCCACTTTTGCTCAGTCTGTACCTCTGTTTTCCCCAAGAGGAAAGTCTGGGAATCCTAACCCTAACCTTGTACCCCCATTTAGTTATTTAATTCTGTTCCTCCTAGTGGTTCACAATTGAATTGCAAGGGTGTGGAGTGACAAACAATGCACCTCAACTCTTCTCTCCCATTTCTCCTTCCTTATCAACTGCCTGTTTGGGTTTTTTTGTTTGTTTGTTTGTTTCTGAAGTTTTCCATAATAAAATGGAGATCTCTCCAACTCTCCTGCTGCTTTTCCTTCTTTAGAAAAAAAGTATGTGTGTGGGAGGTTCTGTGTTTCTCATACCAAGCCTCTCCCATCTTCCTATTGGCCTTGAAGAGGTAGTGGCTATGGCTGCAGGAGGGAAAAATGATGGAAGTGAAACAGGAACTCAATACTGACATGAAGAAAGGGCTCTGTAAGAGCCCTGTATCTGTTTCTCGAAGGACTAGCAGGAAAAGGACTGGTTTGAGGAAGGGCAGGAAGAATCCACTAAACTGGAAGTGCCACAAGGGCAAACGATGTCAGTTGGGTTTAATGAAGTAGCCCAGGCCTCACAAAACTATTACTAGATTGAATGACTGAACAAATATAGGAATAGATGAAGATAGCTAAATATTGGAATTGAAGAATTTCAGTATTTAGAAGCCTGCTAGAAGCAGCCAGCTAGTGTATAACACTGGCTAGTCCAGGGGCATTTACTTCAAGACTTGGGACCATATATAACAAGACTAAAATTGCTGCAAAATATAGTGTATGTACAGAAGTGCAGTTTTCTGAAAAAGAGTCCACTAGACAATGGGTTTTATACCTAAAGGTTTAAGAGCCATTGATAATTCATGGGTTTGTTGCCCAAGTACACTGAATGTTGGCATTTCAAAGAATTTCTATCTTCTGTAAATGTGGAAGATCTATACATGTAGTTTGCTTATCAAGTCTTTTTTTTTTTTCTTTCTAGTTTGCTAAGGTAGTAAAGACTTGTTTGAGTAGTTATAGTCCTACTATTACAGGAGTTTTCTCAGCCTAGTCAGAGGAGACTCCCTTTTACTAAATACAAAATAAGACAAAGTGATCTTAAACACGTACCAAAAGTCTTCAATTTACTAGCAAAGGAACAAGCAAGGTGTTAGAACAATGAGCCAATTTAGAGAGGGTGTGAGTATAGAGGGAAACAATGCTTACATTAGTAGCTAATTAAGTAAAGATCCTAATCTGTTGTAACCCAGGAAAGCAGGGCAGGAAACTCTGATATGCCTGTGGTGCCCAAAGTCCATCTCAGAAACAGAAAACAATGCATCTAAGAAGTCAATGCTAAGGAGCTACCTGTGGCTGTTGGATTATTTCATTTCCCAACAGTAGTGTCTGATCAGTCCAGTTAGTCATAAAAGTATGAAACAGGGTCAAACCGACGTCAGATAAGCAGAGAGCAAGATAACAAGTTCTGCTTATTTTTTGATTAAGTGCCACCAGAGAATTCAAGCGGTTAGCGAAAATGTAGAACACAGTTTACACATTCCTTAGTTTGGAGACTTTTAAAAATAACTTTAAGACAGCACAAAGAAAAGAGGGAACCTTTGTTTTTTCCCCAAATCCTGTTTCTTCCAGCTTGGAGGTCCTTGCTTATTCCTAACCTGTATTCATTCCTGCTGCAGGTACAGGGCTAACAAAGGTAACTCCTAAACAGCATGGGCTAATCTTTCATCAGCATGGACCTGACCTTCCATTTGAAAGAGAATCTCCCCCCACAACACACAAACCTTGCATTATTTTTTGACATATTTTTAACCATAGGACTTACATGTTTTATTATGTATCTTGTCTTCGACCCTCCCTTCGGTAAGGGATTTTTTCTGATTAGTTCTTTGCCATATCCCCAGCAACTAAAATTGTGCTTAGCACACAGCATTTGTTGAATGAATAAGTGAGAGAGGCATCCACAGACCGACCATCAGGGGACGACTGAGGAACTTAGTAGAGGCGGAAATAGAACATTTTATCCCGAGCCTCAGGGGCGGTACCGCGAGGTTTGAACTCGCTCGGCCACCATAGTGCTTAGACCGGAAATGATCGGACGCTTCCGGCCTCGGTGGTGCGGGAGGAAGGTTTGGGGCTGTCGGAAACCAAACCTCAAGGTCCTAAGGCAGGTCCTTTGCGGAGCTGAGACTCCAGCCTAGGACTCCAGGTCTCCGGGCCTCCGACGGGACGGCCGCCAGCGTGGCTGCTCGAGAGAATTCAGGGCCAGGAACGGGGCAGCGTGGGTCACCATGGCGACGCCAGCTGGGCTGGAGCGCTGGGTGCAGGACGAGCTGCACTCGGTGTTGGGGTTGAGCGAACGGCATGTAGCCCAATTTCTGATCGGTACCGCGCAGCGCTGTGCCTCGGCCGAGGAGTTCGTGCAGCGCCTCCGAGACACGGATACTCTGGACCTCAGCGGGCCGGCCCGGGACTTCGCCCTGAGACTCTGGAACAAGGTGTGGGAAGGGGTGGGGCAGGGGAGGGGCCCCAGTTTATTTGTCCTGGTGAGACTGGGCTAACTGTTCTTCGGGGAATTAAATAAGCTCAGTTTACAAGCACCTAGCCTTGTCCGTTGTCGCCTGGGTACTGTGCTAGGTGCTGGATGTCCAGCTGTGGGGAGAAGTTTAAGGAGGGTTAAGTGCTACAGAGCAGTGTTTCTTGAACTTTAATATGCAGAGACTCATTCAGGACCCTTGTTAAAGTGCAGATTCCGATTTATTAGTTATGGGATGGGATCTTAATTTTTGCATTTCTAACTAGTTTCCGGGTAAATCCGATAGTCCACAGACTACACTTTGAATAGCGAGGCCAGAGAAGAGAGGTGCTGGGGCACTTGGGTGGCTCAGTGGGTAAAGCGTCCGACTTCAGCTCGGGTCAGGATCTCCCGCTCGTGAGTTGGATGGAGCCCTGCCACCAGCTCTGTGCTGACAACTCAGAGCCTGAATCCTGCTTCGGATTCTGTCTCCCTCTGTCTCTGCCCCTCCCCCGCTCACTCTCTGTCTCTCTCTTTCTCTCTCAGAAATAAATAAACATTAAAAAAAAAAAAAAGAGAGAGAGAGAGAGAAGTTCTGTGGAAGGGCAGAAAAAGGTAGCAGTACTGATCAAGGCATGTGGTCCCAAAAATTCCTTGAAATTTGTCAGAGAAGGGGAAAGTAGTAAAGGTGTAAAGGTGAGCTTCTAGAGGACAGAACTGTGTATTTCTTGTCTTTGTATTTCTCTCACCTGACAGCACCTTACAAAACAGGTATATGGAAGAGTGAAAGTGTTTGGCATGTTCCTAGAATGGCAAATAGCCTGCTTTAGTTGTCTGGTGAGAGATATGGTGCCTGGTGAGAGATAAGTTTAGAATGTAAGTAATATGAGGGTAGATGATTTATGTTAATCTGTTTAGCATCTCTGGAATCTGATACAGTGCCAGACATATGACAAGCCTTTGCAAATCAATCCTCGTAGCATGTGGCCGCCAGCATGGCTGCTTCAGAGAATTCAGGGCCAGGAACGGGGCACCGTGGGTCATCATAGCGACACCAGCTGGGCTGGAGCACTGGGTGCAGTGGTATCAGAATGACTTAATCATGAGGAACAACAGAGGCTGAGCAACTGAGAATTGGTTTTGAGAATGCAAAATAAACTCCATGAAGGCAGGGATTTTTGTCTTTTGTTTATTTCTGTGTTCGTACCTAGCAAGTACCTGGTGCATTGGACAGGTTTCAATAAATGTTAATTACTGGATGAACATGGTGTGAAGCCATTGGGAAGGGGGACAATGAAGGCTGGTTTAAGATCAGGTCATTCCTTAAATTTGGAATGGGGCAAACTTGGTGGGCAGAGATCAGGAGTTGCTCACATCCCATTATCTTCCCTCCTACTGAAAGGTACCACGGAAGGCAGTGGTAGAAAAGCCAGCTCGAGTGGCAGAGCGAGAGGCCCGAGCCCTGCTAGAGAAGAACCTATCCTATAAGTTGCTGGAAGACAGTGAGGAGAGCAGTGAGGAGACCGTAGGTAGAGCTGGGAGCAATGTCCAGAAGAAGCGTAAAAAACGGAAACACCTCAGGAAGAAACGTCAGGATGAAGAGGAAGAAGAGGAGCAAGAGGTTTCTGAGAAGGAGAAGAGAAAGACAGGGTAAGACAGAAGCAGGATGGGGCAGGGGATGATGGGATGATAAACCTTCTAGGAGGCCTTATGTGATCCTTCGGGCTGGGCTGCAGAGGAAGTAAACAGCTGACTGAGAAGCCAGAGTCGGAGGATGAGTGGGAGAGGACTGAGCGAGAGCGCCTTCAGGACCTGGAGGAACGTGATGCCTTTGCTGAGAGGGTTCGGCAGCGGGACAAGGATCGGACTCGAAATGTCCTGGAGCGGTCAGACAAGAAGGTACATAGGAGCAGCATGTTTTGTAAATCCCCAGGAATATTCCTGGTTGGGTGTGATTGCAGAGATAGTAATCTTTGGGAAGACCAGCGATGGCCTCTGGTGGTATTCATCTGTATGGTAAGAGGACCCCTCTGGGTGCTTTGGCTAAGGCGACCCTCTGCTGAACCTGTAGCCCTAGAGATTCCCACTGAGAAGGGACATTTCTTCATGCTATGGTATATCAAAACCTTGTGATTCTGAAGGCGGAGTGACTGTGGCTTTGGGAGATTTTGTCCTCACAGCGCTTTACTCTTGGTTTCTTTTCCTAGGCTTATGAAGAGGCTCAGAAGCGCCTCAAGATGGCTGAGGAAGACCGGAAAGCCATGGTGAGTCCCAGTGCCCAAGAAGCCAACATCAGAAAGCAAAAGGAAAGACTTTCTGATGAAATGGTTTGGGGTAGGGGAAAAAGGACACGAAATACAGCGGGGATGCTGATGGGGTGTCAGGTCCCTGTTGACAGGAGCCTACCAAGGACAAACTTAAGTTGTAGAGGGAAGGAAGCTACACACAAACCCTCCTGACTCCTTAGAATTAAATCACGCTGTGTTCATAAAGGAAGTGTGAGCTTTCCCTTTTCCTGAGACTTAATGAGATGTAATCAAAAGGCAGCTGGAACATCAAGGGGGGTGGCTGGAGGGCAGGGGCAGGGCAGCTATCCCACTGCCCAGGGATCTGCCTAGGGATATGCTGACCATTCAGCTTGGACACACCTAGTTCCAAATACCTTCCTACCATCTAGTCTCTCTATCCCGGACATGGCCTTGTGATCTTCC